ATTTTTTTAAAGATTTTATTTATTTATTTGACAGAGAGAGAGAGAGAGAGAGAGAGAGAGCACTAGTAGGGGGAGGGGCAGGCAGAGGGAGAAGTAGGCTCCCCACTGACCAGAGAGCCTTTCTCAGGGCTCGATCCCAGGACCCCGGGATTATGACCTGAGCCAAAGGCAGATGTTTAACCATCTGAGCCACCCAGGTGCCCCTCCCTTAAGCTAATATTAATAACAATACTAACTGCCATTATTGAGTGCTTACAGTATACAAGCTGAGCACCATATATGCCCCTTGGAATTCTTATAAAAACCCTGGGGTTGGGGAAGGCATTCTCATTTTACTCCACCTCATATAACAGATGAAGAAACAGATGCTTGGTGAGAATCCACATCAGGCCTGTCTGGCCCCACTTCCTTCTGAATGTTTAGGCTCTGAGGCCTCTCAGGCTGATGTGGCACTTGAGGAAGGCAGCAGGGGAGCTGGGTGGGTTCTGAGAATGGAAGAACCTTTGGGAAATGACCACCAAGAAGCTGCTGGCTGTGGGGGATTTCTAGTGATTCTGAAAATACATTCCATGGTCACTAGTCTGAGTTTAGGTCACTCTGAATGAACCGAGAGGTCAAAGTGGAAATCCCCCTGCTATGTCTGACCAGCTCTGCATCATTTAGAAACAAGAGACTCTGAGTCTCAGGCTTGTGGGGAGGTCAGTTTGCCCAGGCCCTTGCTTTGGTCAGAATTTTATACTCTTTCCCCTGGAGGAGGGGTCACCAGGTGCCATACATTTATTGATCACCACCTGCATGCCTGTACTCCCCATCATTGCACCCGTACTCGTGACAGCAAGCCGGCAGGGGATGCATCAGTGGCCCCATTTATCAGACGGGAAACCTGAAGCTCAGAGAGATGAAGTAGTGGAATCAAGGTAATGTTGTTGTTAAGCTGGAATTTGAAGCCACATTTGTCTGATATCAAAGCTGTTGAAGGAGTTTCCACAACGTGACTATACCAGTGTAGCCAACACCCAGCCTGCCCAGCACATCAGAGACGAAGCCCAGAGCCTCTGGAGGAAGCCAGCTCCATTACTAGACCCTTTCCCGCCAATCTTCCGTAACTCCGAGCTTCCTCTCTAATACCCTCTGCAGGTTCCCATGGACAGAACCCAGGCCATGGTACCATCCCAGTGAGTGGAGCTTTGTAGGGAGGGATGGGTTGAGGGGAGGATTCTATCATTGGCTAAAAGGACCTCCTCTCCCCCGTGGGGGTACCTCTTAGAAGATGAGGGGAGGTCCACTTTCCTCTCTTCTGCAATGAGGTTGGGGCAGTAGGTTTCCAGACCCTGCCAGCTCTCTTCACTCCCACCTCCACTGTGTAGGGAGGGTGAGAAAGGAGGGCAGAGCCCCTGGGTGTAGTGACTCATCTGTAACCTGGGGTTTAGGGCAGGACCTACCTTACGTTACTATGTGTGAACTCTTGGAGCAGTGCCCAGCTCATGGTAAGGGTGGCTCTGATAGGTCTGTGTTCAAACCCAAATTCTGCTGTGTACCTGCTGTGTGATCCTAGGCAAGTTTCTAGCCTTCCCGAGCTCCACTTTCCTCACCTGCACAATGGGAATAGCAGTATCTCCCTCACAGTGTGGTTGTGAGAATTAAATGAGACAACAACTCAGTGCCTGACATGTGGTAGAGGCTCAACCAATGGCAACCATTCCTAATAGAATTTGCACTCCAGCATCTAAGCCCCTGCTGCCCCCTTCCACCCACCACCTGGAGATCTTGACGGACTGTGGCCTAAAGGTATCAGCAACTATTTTTCCTACCATTTCCAGGGAAGTAAAAGCACACAGACTTGCTGACAAGTCCTGAGGGATGACCAGGCCCAATGGAAACTCATATATGCTGATGGAGGCAGAAGCAAGGGAGTTTCTAAATTCTTACAGACTTCAGAGAATGGAAGAAGTTTAAAACCTTTCTCTGGTCCAACCCAGCAATTTCACTTCCAGAAATCTATTTTAAAGCAACCACCCTTTAAACATAGACAAAGCTTTATCATCCCAGCATTAACCATAATAATGAGCAGAGGTGACCTGAAAGTCATAATAAGGAAAAAAACAATCAATAGAAACAGACCCAGAAATGACCCAAATGATAGAATTAGTATATAAAGCTATTAGAACACTTACGATAACTATTCTATGTTTAAGAGAGAGGAAAGCTTGAGCAGGGTAAATAAAAACATAGAAGATTTTTTTTTTAACCCAGATCAAATTTCTAGGGTAAAACAAATATACTCAGAGGAAAGGAACAGTGGACAGGACTAAGAGTCAACAACACAAAAGAAAAAGCTAGTTGTTTTCTGTTCATCATAAGCAGTAATGGTGACAAACAGACGGCAACGATGATGGGAACAATCATAGCTAACATCTGTTGATCTCTAGCTATGGACCAAGATCTGGTCACCTACCATGTTGTTTAATTCCTGCAACAGGCTTATGAAGTAGGTACGGTCATTGTCCCCATTTTACACATGAGGAAGTGTAAGACAGAGCTGAGCAACTTCCTCCAGGTGAAGTAGCTAGAGCACAGGGGAGGCCAGCCTAAACCCAGGTGGTCTGGGTTTGAACACCACCTCCCACCCTTTTCACCTCCATGGAATGCTATACGGCCCAAGCTGTGGTCACTGTGATGGCTTTCTTCCCATGGGTGAGACTTGGTACACTGTGCTGGTTGCCTGTGGCCTCTAAACCCCACAACAATCAGAGGAGGGAAGGACTAATGTCCCCACCAGCAAATGAAGAAACCAAGGCTCATGGAGGGGCAGCAATTGGCTCAGGGTCCCATAGTTGGTAAGAGAAGGAGCCAGAGTTTGAAGCAGGTCCCTCTGGCCGCAAACCTAGACTTTCAGGTGTGCCCTGGGGTCTTGGGATGTGTTGAGGACAGCCCATTCCAAGGCCTCTTTGTAACATGACTGGTGTATCTTTTCTCCCATTAGGGAAAGCCTTCTGGAATCAACAGAGGACCTGTGGTTCCAGCTACTTTTGCTTCTACCCAAATGATAACAAGATCAGGAGAAGCTGGGACTCTAGGAGGTACCCATGTGCCCCATCAGGAGCCCAGATCTGGAAGACTGTGCTGTGAAGTCCCACACTGAGAGGAGTATAAGAGAATGACCACAAGGCACATGCGAGGGAGGCATGTCAAGGACTATGCCAGGGACATATAGTTTGCCTGCTGCTTAATTATTTTACATGCAGATTATTTTCTCACAGATAAGGTGATTGGTTGGTGAATGAGTCAAGTAGCAAAGGGAAAATTAGACTCTAGAGAGAGACCTCTCAGCAGTGACTTTTGCTGGCACACTTTTTTGGGTGAGCTGGTGGCAAAGAGGCCAATCTGTGCACTATGTCCTTGAAGAGCCATCTAATGGGCATGGGAGAAAACCAATCTCTGCTACCAATGGATCCTCCATTAAACCTTGAAAGGTTACCAGTGGAGCATTTGTGGGAGACCATGTCTACAATGCCTGTGTGTCCTGCCACCAGCATCTCTACCCTAGTTAGGCTGGGTCCCACCTTCTGCCTCATTAGGATTCCCATATGCAAACTGAGCCAGACCTGAAGCATAAGATGTCAACACACATCAATTGCCTTCAAATTGTGCATGTGCTTGGACTCTCAAGTTTAGGAATAGATCCTACAGAAATAATCCTGGACACACAGTGAGATTTAGCCTCAAGGATATCTTTCACTGTACCAGTATATGGACTAGAATAGTTTTTTTTTTTTAAAAAGATTGGAAACAACCCATATGTCCATCAATTGGGGATTCATTAAATGAACAGCATAGATGTGTCAAGGGATATTGGGTTGCCTTGCAAACTGTTACCACAGAAGAATCCTTAATGATGTAGAAATATGTTCAAGTTATATAGGTAAGTAAAAATACACCCCATAAAGTACTACTTGCATCATTTTTCTAATGGGAAACCTATGGAAAGATCCATACAACAATAGAACCAGAAGAACATACACCAAAACGTCAATAGTGGAAACAACTCAAGTGCCTCTCAATGGATGAATAAAGAAGACGTGATATAGATATCAACATGGAATATTATTTAGCTATGAAAAGAAGGACATCCCAACACTTGTGACAACATGGATGGCCCTTGAGGACATGATGCTAAATGAGACAAGTCAGACCGAAAGACAAATGCTGTTTAATCTCACTTATATGTGAAGTGTTAAAAAAAAAAAAGCCAAACTTGTGGGATGCATGGCTAGCTTAGTCGGTAAAACATGCAACTCTCAATTTCAGGGTTGTGAGTTCAAGCCCACCTTAGGCATGGAGCCCACTTAAAAAAAATCCAAATTCATAAAAATGGACAGTAAAATGATAGTCACCAGGGGACAGGGAGGAGCAGAAATAGGAGAGATGTTTACAGGTACAAACTTGCAAATAGTAGAAAATAAATCCCAAGGATCTAATGCACAGTCTAGTGAATATAGACAACAATATTGCATTATACTCATCCAGCTTGCTAAGAGATTAGATCTTTATTCTAACCACTAAAAAGAAATTATAATTATGCGACGTGATAGAGGTACTAATTATTGCCATACTGACAGTCACAGTGTAATACATAGATGTATCCACTCAACAGGTTGTACACCTCCTCAAACTCACACAATGTTACATGTCAAATCTATTTAAAATCAAAAGAAGTGAATAGTGTTTACTGAATTCACAAGCGATTTTAAGTTATTTTATTGTCTACAATGTTCAGATCTCCTACACTGAATGTGTTCCTTTTGCAATTCAAAAGTTAAAAATAAAAACAGTAAAATTCCCCCAATGCCAGAAACAGGAAATACAGCGGACACCCGAGCCAGAACTGGGAAGGACAGGGGTGGGCTGGGTTGAGTGGGGGTACCCTGATATAAGAGGCTGCCTCAATGGAGGGGGACTTCCAGCAGCTGCTTCGACTGTCCTGCCCCCCAGCTGGGACCATGGAACTTCCCCTGCTGTGCACCCTGCTGGTGTTTGCTGGTGAGTGGGGCAGGACCCACAGTGGGGAAGGGGAGGCGGGATGTAAGTAGGCGCTATAGCTCCCTCCTAGACTGAGCCTCTGCTCTGATCCCCACTGCCCTGGTCCCCCAGGCCTCAACCCTTCTGTCCCTGCAACGAGCTAGCAGCAGCGGCCGGTCCCCAACATGCTGGCTTCTGCTGGGAAGCTCTGGCTCTGCACGCTGTGCAGCGTGCCTCTGGTCTGCTGTGAGGCTGAGCGTGGAGGGGCTCAGACACTGCAGTTGGCTGAGCAGATGCCTACGGTATTTTGGACACAAATTACAGAAAGGGATCTCCCCACCTCCTTCTGCTCCCCTCTGTCACTTTGACCAGGTAATTACAATCTTTCGTTTACGCACAGCACTCTGTACATTTAAAACACTTACTTTCATGTTCATTGTCTCCCTTGAACCTGGGAGGAGGGTCCTGTTGACTGTGGTGGGAGATGGGGCGGTTTCCATTCAATCTTCGGCAGACCAAATATGAAAAAGTGCTTGTTAGCAAATCAGTGGTTTTGTTTCTCGATCCGTCTCAAAGTATGTAGTGTTAGAAAGGATTTGTACTTTCGAATGTGGTTTTATGTTGTCCTGGGACTACCAAATTTTTAGAGGAACACATCTCCTGGGCTACTGTGGCAACCGTTAGGAAAATTGCAGTCAACTCCTCTCCCAGACACAAAGAAGCAACACACTGTAGACATAAAATACGCAGATAAACCTGCATTCGAACGCTGGTCCCCTGTCTCCTGGCAGGATGACCTTGGCCAAGTCACCCTACTTCTCTGTGTCCTCATCCGTAAAATGGACACAATAGCACCCTCTTCGTAGGGTTGTTAGGACTTTAATGAGAAAATGTATCCAGAGTGTTTAGCAAGTGTAAGTAATAGCGAGGAAACAACAGCCTAATACCCAGCACAGGCGTGATGAGGCGGTAGCTGTGCTAATTCTCGGGGTGAGGGGGTCCATCCCCCTCGGTGGCAGCGAAGGATGATAGAGCTACCAGGAATTACTGACAAACTAAGCCAGTTCACCAACGGTCACATAACCACAGGCCAAGATCTGCGGTGTTTCAGGGCTCATTTCGCCTCAACTAGAAAATTATTAGGAGGCAACCATCCAAAAGCTTTCTGAACCCAAGTTAAATATATTGTTTGCCCGGCAAGGGCGAGCTGCATCGTTCAGATATGAGCTTATTTGTATAATGCTAAGCTGACGTGGAAAGGGCCAGACTTGGGGCAGAAAGAGGGACGAGGTACACAGAAAGGCAAGAGTCTGAATTCAGGTCCCTGGTTGGCACACAAGGTGGGGATGACCCTCCCTGCCGTGGGTTGCCTCCGGGTTCCTTATCACGGAATGTGGGATTCCGGGGGTCTTGGGATCAGTCATTAGTACCCTCAAGGCTTAGCAAGGATTCTCTTAAACACCCCTGGCAAACAGGAGTGGCAACATGGATTCCGGCCCATTGAGGGGACACACCGGGTGGGGACATAGCAGGCCTCCAAGTACCAGACACCCCCGGTCCCTTTTAGCTGCAGCCCAAGGCAACCTGCTCAGGATCTCACCTGTGGCCCATTGCACGAGCCCCTTCCAAATCCCCTCCTCCCACCTCCACCTCCCCCAATTTGGGGCTCACTCTCATTTTGTTATTCACTTCAATGGCACGAAGAACTTTCATTATAACACCATTTACCTGGGGAGGGGAGGGGAGGTGCATAACGAGGTCACTCAAAGGGGCCCACCTGGCCACGTCTCCCTGAAATTCAGGTCCATCTACATTCTCGAATCGTCTCTCGAGGTTGCACACATGTATACTTGGGTCTCCTTATCTTGTCTGGTCCTCCCAGGCCCTCCCCTGAATTCATTGACTTCATATATTTTATTTCTCCTATCTCAGCATTAAGCATTCTTCTCCCCCAATAAAATAATAGCCCCTTATGATCCATTCTAACCAGTAGCAATTATGCCTAGAATGAAAAATATCCACAAAAATCATTGATTTCTAAATCACATGGCCTCCCAGGTGAGCCACGTGAGTGCTTTAATCTGCAGCTTTCTCTAAGGGAGGCGAGGGGCAGGTGGGGTCCAGGGGAAAGTCTCCCTGTTACAGAACGGGAACTTGGTGCAGAGGCAGGGAATGGCACCCAACTGCCTTGGGTTTCAATCGTGGCTCCTCCATGTACCCGGCCACTGTGACCCGGAGCAAGGTCCTAGGGCTCAATCTGCTCATCTATAAAACGGGCATTAAATGTAGTTCTTGTTGTATCAATGTGAGTTTCTTAGTTCTCATAAGTGTCCTGTAATTATTGAAGCTGATCATAACATCAGAGGAAAGTAGGTGAGCGGTGTGCAAGAACTCTCCGTAACTCCTTGCAGCTTTTCTGTATGTATAGAATGTACCAAAACAAAAAGAGTAGTTATTGGGGGAAAAAAAGAGTATCTCATGGGTTGAATGGAGTCATTGAATTACTACATGGAAAGATCCATAATAAGCATTCACTATCACTATATATTTTTTAAAGATTTAATTAATTTATTTGAGAGAGAAAGAGAGCAAGCAAGGGAGGGCACAAGCAGGGGGAAGGACAGAAGGAGAGAGAGAGGGAGAAGCAGACTCTCCTGACGTAGGACTCGATCCCAGGACTCTGGGATCATGACCTGAGCTGAAGGCAGACACTTAACTCACTGAGCCACCCAGGCGCCCCATCATATATTTTTATTAGCCATGATCGTTGTTGTCACTTTATTTCCCAAGGTCATTCTGATGTGGTCCACCAGGGCACAAGTGCCAGGCCTGTGGGCCACTGGCCACCACTGATGTTCAGCTCATGTCCTCTCCTTGTTGCTGGACTCCTTGGCAGGTGTGATTCCATCCCAGGGTGGGATCATGAACCTGAACAAGATGATCAAACAAGTGACCAGGAAGACACCCATCTTCTCCTACTGGCTCTACGGCTGCCACTGTGGACCTGGAGGCAGAGGCCAACCCAAAGATGCCACGGACTGGTAAGGCCTTTCCTGGCAGGCCCACGGGTGCCAGTCCTGCCCTGCCTGCCCCCTGCCCCGGGACTCTTCCCTTTCCTGCTCCCCCATGTATTTGTTCCGTGAATTCGTTTTGTCCCGTGTGCTAGGAACTCTGCTGAGGCCCAGTCCCATTCCAGGCCTCCAGGCCCTTGCCTTCTGGCTGGTTCTGCAGGGTATCTGAAGGCCCCTTTACACTTCCAACCCCTGATTTAGTTAGAGTATCCCCACACACACACTCCCTGCTCCCACTGCACGCTGTTTTTTCAAATTCCTACCTCTTTTTGCCACTGGCTCATTCAATCTTCGCAGCACACCCCCTCCAACCCCATACCCCGGGGAATCAGCCAGGGGGGCTGATGAGAGCCATCCAGACCCAGGGTCACTTCCCTCATCCACCACTTATAGGCTGTGTAGCCTGACCTCCTTGAGTCTGTTTCTTCATCGGTGAAATGGGGAATATACCAGTGCCTCCGTCACAGGGTGGTAGTGAAGATCAAGGGAATATTCACAGACAAAACACATGCCTGGTTCACAGGGCTTCCACCCTCAGTAGGTGTCAGCTAGTGTGACCGCAAAGAAGGCTACAACCCTGCCGGCCTTGACTTCCAAGGTGGGCACTCCATTTCTACCTTGGGCAGCTGTGCTCCCTGCCTGTCCCACTGCCTGTCCTGTCCCTCCAGGTGCTGCCAAACCCATGACTGCTGCTATGAGCACCTGAGACTGCACCGATGCCGTATCCACACAAACCATTATGACTACACCTTTTCCTACGGGAACATCCAGTGCTGTGAGTGTCCGGGCCTCAGGGTTGGAGTTAGAGGCTGAGGAAGGGAGCTCTGGCACTCACTGCCTTCGTGGGTTGTATGACAGTGCACGAGCCGCCCAACCTCTCTGTCTTTCCCATGTGTCCAGTGACCGTAGCTGGGCTGTGGAGGAATGGAGCTGGGAGTACAGAGAGGTCCAACAGGGGTGTTGAGCCCTTTAGGATTTAGAAGGCAGGCAGGCCTCAGCTTGGATCCCAGAGCCACCATCAACCAGCTGGGTGACCTTGAACACAGTGCTGAGCCCCTCTGAACATCAGTGGTCTCATCCGGAAACTCAGGATGATCACAGTTATTCTACTCCCTAACATTAATTCCAGAACTAAAATGAGAGTTAGAATGATCCTTGCACATGCCCGCCGCCAGGCGCATGCTCGATAAACCACCTGGGGCACGACATCCCCGTCACAGCTTGCAGTGTTCCTGGGCCTCAGAGCAGCCCAGCCAGGAGCAGCACCATCTCGATGACCTCCATGGTATAGACAAGGACAGCGAGGCCAGAGTGAAGAGGTGCTTGCCCAGGGTCAGCCAGCTGCAAGTGACAAGAACCTGGGTCAGAGCTCAGGTCCCCAGCCCCCTCCCACCCCTGCCCTCCATCCACCCCTGCCTGGAGACAGGGGGCAGCTCCCAGGGCTGGGAATCAAGGGCTCATCCCATCAGTCCCTGTTCATCGAAGGCTTAATAGTAATAGCAACAGGTGCACCTGGGGGCTCGGCCGGTGAAGCATCTGCCTTCAGCTCAGGTTATGATCTTGAGGTCCTGGGATCGAGCCCCACTTCGGGCTCCCTTCTCAGTGGGGAGTCTGCTTCCCCTGCTCTCCCGCTGCCTCTGCCCCTTACCCCCACTCACGCGCTCTCTATCTCTCCCAAATAAATAAATAAACTCTTAAAAAATAATAATGGTGACAATAATAGCCAGCACGTATTGAGCACCTACTGTAGGCTGAGTGCTTTGCTTCTTCAGTACCCTCAACAGCCCCAGGGCAGCACTCACTCTCACCCCAAGTACAGATCACAAAAGCCATGCACCGAGGTCCCTTCGGCCTCAGTCTCCGCACATGCTGTTCCATCTGCCTGGAACACCCCCCTCCGCCACCCACCGCGGCTTTCCACAGGGGGAGCAGACCCCTCCCACCTCAGCTCAGATGGCTCTCGATGCCATGTCCGGTCCCCCTCTTTCACCGTCTTCCAGCCCCTGTATCATCCCTTACTTCCGTGGGGAGCAGGCCGCGATCTTCACTTCTGTGGCTCTCGAACAACTGCAGCCCCCATGGGCGTGCGAACCTCCCATGTCCCCTCGAGCCCGCCCTGTCCCTCCAGGGCCTGCTGCAGGGTGGGGGCTCAATTGTTTATTAAGTGGATGAATAAAGAAATAAAGGAGCCTTGGCACACGGGGGAGGTCGCAGTCCGGCCCGAGGTCCTGCAGCTCGGGTGGAAGCAGCTGGGAAGGGCACTCGAAAGTTCGGCAAGGACTGTGCTGCCTTCAGGAACTCCCTCCGGGGACCCCAGAACCACCTGGGCTCTGCCCCAGGAAGGGACAGATGCTGAGCTCCCTTCTCCTCCACCCCGCAGCTGACAAGGGGACCTGGTGTGAGCAGCAGCTGTGCGCCTGTGACAAGGAGATGGTCCTCTGCCTGCAGCGGAACCTGGACTCCTACCAGAGGCACCTGCGATATTACTGGCGGCCCCACTGCCGCGGCCAGACCCCAATGTGCTAGGAGGAGCCCCCCGGCAGTCCCAGCTCCCTGCCCTGTTCCTCAGCATCTCCAGCTGAGGGTCCCGTGGGACTGCCGACACCCCTACCCAGGGTCCGACCCCCGGAACCAGCTGGGGGTGTCTCCACCTAACCCCACCTGCCTTCTTGCTCTTGGACCTTCTAAATCTTTCCGCCCCGAGGCAGCAGCTATCTCTTCCGAGGATGCATCGAGATCTGAGGAAAAGCCAAGGCCAGGAAGCCCCTTGGGGACAGTATTTGGGCCGAAGCAGCAGGGGTCAGGGGTGGGGATTGGGGGGGCCGTGGTGTGGCAGGTCCTCCCTGCCGCTGCCACCTGCCAGGCCACCTGCTGAGTCTCGCCCCCTCCAATCACGCTGTCCAAGCTGCAGTCGGGTTGGCCTTTCTGAAGGACCACATGGCTCTACTTCTTAAGACCCCGTAAGCCCTCTGCCGCCCCAGGGTAGGCCCTCTCACGGTGTTTGGGACCCACAATGTCCTGCGCTATGTCACTCTCCCAAACTAGACTGGCAGGTCCTTGCAGGCAGGGCCCATGACCACCATGGAATCAGGTGCATCCTTGCACCCGAAGCAGTACCTGGGACCAAGAGGGACTCTACAAATCCCTCTCAGGCTAAGGGCCAGATGAAGCTGCCTCGTCCTCTAGCTCTAGGCCCAGGTTCTCACGCACATGCAGTGTGTCCTTTCCTGCTTCCAGGAGTTTTCTCAGGCTGGGACCTCTGCAGAGTGCTCCGCTTACTGTCCCCAGGTGGCTGAGCCCCACCAAGGGCCCAAGGGCTACTTGGAACAGAGGCCTCCCCTGGCTGATTCCTCCTGGGCTCTTGCTCCCTCCTCCAAACCTGCAGAGCAATTTATGAGTCTGGAATTTACCAGGTTTTATCTTGAGTGGTATATAGTATCTGAACTTTCCCAGTGTCCTCCAACTAGACTGGAGCTGCTGGAGGACCAAGGCTGTCTCTCATCTTTGTTTCCTCTGCTCCCGGAAATAATAGGTGCTCAATTAATGCTTATGGACCAATGAGCCCATAATGGATAGATGGATGGAGGTTGTGGGAGATGTTGCTGGGGCTCCACCCAGATCCCCTCCCGGCCCAGTCCCCCAATCTCCAGCTAAGCCAGATGTTTGGTTGCTGTGTGCCCACATCTATCTCGTTCTCCTTGTCTGCTGGGAGCTACCACGTCTCCCACCCTGCCCACCTCTAACCTGTGTCTAGGGAGTGCAATACCAGAAGGGAGTAATTGCCCAGCCCCTGCCTCCATGCAGGACCCCCTGGGCAGCACATTGCATGTCCCAGAGCTCCTCCTGGGACCAGGCTGAGGCCAGACATCTGGAACACCTCTTTGCTTAGCTTCATACCCTAGTCTGGCCTGTTTCACTTGTTGCCTTATAGGTTTCTCCTGTGAGCACGCCCTCAGTAAATTACCCATTTGCACAAGAATCCTGTCTCAGGCTCAGCTTCTGGAAAAACTGACTTGGGATGGATGGGTGGTTGGATGGATAGATGGATAGGTGGATGGATGGGTGACTTCTTCACACAAGGATCCATGATCTATCATTTGTATGTGATTAGCTGTGTCTCCAGCAACAGGGCTGGAGGACCTAGAGCCACTCACACGCTCCAGCCTGTGACATGTGTAAGTGAAACAGCTGACCAAGCACTTATCCTACTTCTACATAAAGCTCAGTGGCTCAAGTGAAGCAGGGTAGAAGAATTAAGAACCATGGGCACTGGGTTCAAATTCCAGCCATACCACTGACTAGCCATGTAACCTCACCTCAGGAATCTTGGGTTTCCTCCAGTGTATAGATGAAAGTTAGAAGAAAATAAGATGAGGTCAGTGCAGTGCCTGACACATGATAATGCCTCTTTATTTATTTTTTTTAAAGATTTCTTTATTTGCTTTAGAGAGAGAGCAGGGGAGAGGGGCAACAGGAGAGGGAGAGAGAGTCTGGAGTAGACTCCATACTGTGCACAGAGCCCGATGCGGGACTCGATCTCATGACCCTGACATCATGACCTGGGCTGAAACCAAGAGTCAATCACATAGCTGACTGCACCGCCCAGGCACCTGATAATGTCTCTTTACATGTTACCTGTAGCATTTTTGCTCTTGTTGTTATATAATGACCGCATCTGAAATCAAGATAAAACAAGGGAAAATAGTTAATCAATGTCCCCCTCCTTTCCACCCAATTCCTCTGTCCTTTCCACAGGACCGTGCAAGCTGGGTCAGTTAGATCCTGAGACACGGTGATCATTGACTCAAGAGTTGACCACCCCCACTCCTCTGTTTCTGTGTGCCAGGCTCTGTGATGGTGACAACATCATCATCTGTTGGCAGATATGAGCATTATTATCCCGATTTTACAACCTCAGGCTCAGATGGGGGACTTCAATGTCCAAGGTCCCACAACCAGCAAAAGGGAGAACCAGGATCCCACCCTGACTCTCCTCACTCTGCTCCCTGGCACCCCGTCCCATTTGTACCGATCAGGACAGGAGTTGATGGACTCCAACAATGAGGCATTTATGACCTCACATGATGAGAAACCCAGGGGAAAGGTGGCTCTCCCGTGGCCTGGAGATGTCCTCAGCACCGGGTGTTCTCTCCTGCTCTTGGCCACCCTTGCTGTGCTGCTCTGCCCCCTGGGTGGCTCCTCCCAGCTTCCAGATTGCAGCTGTGGGCCAGACTTCAAACCTGGACGTGACTACATCCACCAGAGAACATGCCATCCCTTTCGTGTCTGTTTTCAATGAGCCCTACTGCCACCACCTGGCACATCTCCCCCAAGGACGGGCCACCCTCAACCGTAGTGCTTCAAGGTGACGGGATCACTCTGGTTGGTTTCAATTCCTCCTTACCCTGGAGAGGAGAGAGTTAATGTCCCTGAGTGGTGGGTAGTAGATGCAACCAGAGCTGTGGGGGTTGTTGATGGCCTTGGGTGAGCAAGTCCAAGGCTGGATCAGGAGGAGGACAGTGCCTAAAGCACTCCTCTCTCTGAGCTAAGCACCTAGAGCAGGGCCTGCTGGTCATAGAGTAGGTGACCAATAGTTATTTGTTATGAATGAATGAATGATGAATGAATGAATCCCAGGTTGGTCAAGTCATGGGACTCTGGACCAAGAGGTGGGATTGGCAGATGGGATCTCAGGGCAGCCAGGACTGAGTCCCCAGAGTGAGGCAAGACCCTCTCCCCCTCCCCACCATCCTGTAAGTGCTAATTCTGGGCCCTTTTCCAATTCCTGGGATTGGGCAAGAGGCACCAAGGAAGGAGAGACTCACCGGCAGCTTCTGTTCTCCACGCCCATCTCTCAAGTAGCCTGGAGGATGTAGGAGGCAGACAGAGGACACAATCACCGTGCTTCCCATTCCTCCCGGGGTCAGACTCACAAAGGGACAACCACGAGGGGGCGGGTGGAGCCAACACTGAGCACCTGTGGTGCCCCCTCGCCCACTCCCCTCACCTCCCTGGGGCTTGGTATCTGCCTCTTCCAGCTGCAGAAACTGAAACTCTGGGTGAGTCACTTGCTGCTAAGTGGCAGGGCTGGGAATCGAACCCAGTTCTCTCTGCTCCAGGGCCGTGTCTCACCCTACCTCCCACTCTTTCCTGGGACAGCTGGTGAGTCAGCCCCGGGTGCCCCTTTAGTGGGTGAGAGCCACCCCCAGGGATGAGGATGTGAGGCAGGGGTAGGTGGCCAGGCAGGAAGCACCGCGGACAGAAGGGTAGCGGGTAATAATTGCACCCACCGTTAACAGTAGCGTCCTCACATTGGGAGCCCTTCATCCCACAGCTGGCTGAATCCAGTCCCTAGGCCACCTGGACCCCATGGGCCACCTCCAGGGGGCGGGGGGGGGCCAGCCTGGGGGGGGCACGATGGGTAGCTGCCTTCTCCATGACTCTGCCTGCTTTTCCAGCAGAGCCTCTCCCAAATGTCCATGCTCCTTTCACGCTTCTCCCCATCGCTGCGCTATGCAGTGGGGCGGTGGGTCCCGTCCTCCCCTCTGCACCCCACCCCCGTGTCAGTGCCCACTAGGGGTATTCACTTGGGGTGCACAATGCCCCCGCTCTTCCCGAGGTCAGCCCGGAGCCGACCTCACTGGGACAGCCTGGATGTGAGGGCCTGGCTGGCTCTAGAGTGGGGGAGATCCTCTTTATCTTTTTTTTCACTTAAAGAAGAGATTTTAGAGTAGCTGGTGAAAACTCAAAGCAAGTCAGAAAAGGCAAGACGGCGGAGTTCCCTTCTTTCTGTCTCTGCTTTAGGTTCCTGGCCAAGCTTCGCTGGCTTTGGGGCCTCTCCTGGATGGACTGCCCTGGGCTCCTTGCAAGACTGGCCCCTTGGGTCATCCAGGGCTCAGGAGACAGTCACCCCCTGAGAGAAGGTCCCTGCCTCCCAGCAGAAAGCAACCACCTCTCACCCTGTCTCCCTGCCTTATTTCAATTCTCTGCTTACCTTTTCTGTGGGTTTTCTTAATCACTGACTCATTCAGCCGTTTGTATATCTTAGATTGGGAAGCGCACCTGCTTTATCACCTCCCAGCCCCTCCCTCTGAACTATCAGAAACCAGCCGCCTCCCTCTGCCAAGACCACTCCCCTACTGGCAGGAGACCCTGCAGGCAAAGGTCATTCTCACGATGGGCTGCCTCTTCTGGAAGGAACCAGCCCCAAGATGAGGCTGCCACAGGGCCCAGCTCTGTCGATGCCTGCAGGTAAGTGCCCCTCCTCCGTCCCCAAAACCCCAAGTCCGGGAACCACGGAGCAGAAGGAAGAGGAAATAAATCAGCCAGGTGGCCTCTGGTTTCTTAAGAGGGAGATGGGAAAAGATCCTATTTTTCAGGGTTTCCCTGTGCTAGGAACCTTAAACACCTGATCTCATTTACACCTCATTACACGGGCCCCCACCGGCTGGGCACTTTGCCCTTCTTTTCTGGGGGAGGATCCAAGCTCTGATAAGTAAAATATTTCGCCCCAGGTAACTCACTCAGCAAGAAAATACCAAGATTTGTTCCTCTTGTGCCAGCACAGCTCATTGAGCTGAAAGATTGGAGACCCACCTTCTAGATCAGACTCCATGCGAGCCCCCTTCTATTGGCTCCACTGCTTCATCTGCCAGGTAGGAGGGGGGAGGATTAGGCTTCCCAAATCCCAGCCTTTCGCACATCACCTTCCAGATGTTTGGTTTAAGATTTCAATTTTCTTCTTCTTCTTCGCTTTTCTTAACATAAATAATTTTTTTTAAGCAGGAAATTAATTCCACTCTGGTAGAGTGAAAAACCAGTGTCACTTGTCATCAGCGGAAAATGACCATAAAAATAAATGCAATGAAAATAAAACTCTTATTGGAGAGAGAAGTGCACGATCAGTAGCTGGGTCAGCTAGCAAGCACGGGAGGGGTGCCGAGGACCCCCAGGCTCCACGTGGAGACCGCCTTCGCCTCAACATATTCTGAAGGACTGGAAGGAACTAGATAGGGAGCAAGTCATGAGCTCTGTGAGCAGCACTGTTTGTCTTCTCTGGAGAGTCCCAAACCAGGCTGGAGGTGTGTGGGGGGCACCAGCTGGGTGATGCGGTGGAAGGTTCTGGAGACGAGGGAGGAGGAGCACAGGGCCTGCTCTTGGGGAGCACAAGCACAGCAGGGAAGAAGGTCATAGAGTGCTGGACTGGGGGCTAGGAGACCCCCAGGCCAAGCCAGCTTCTGTTACTCTCTTGCTCCAAGGCCTCAAAAGGGATCAGAATCTGCCAGGCCCGAATATGCCACTTTGTATACAAATTATTTGGGGCTGGTGGCAATTGAGTATCCACAGATGCGGAAAGAGGTCTCTGCCCATCCCTTATCTGCCTAAAAACAAGACACGAACTTCTCTTTGAGAAAAGTGCCCCCAACCCTTGTACTTGGAGAGAAGAGCAGCTCTTATCATCCGCGCCAGGGAGTCAACACTCCAGAAGCAGACTTTTCTAAAATAGCGTGTCCTGCATTAGATCCTCCATGTAGCTCTTAGTCATTTCCCCACAGGTTATATTCCTTGAGGTCCAAGCCGTCTCTCCTTTGCTAAAAAGAAATCCTCTGGGGATCCCTGGGTGGCTCAGCGGTTTAGCACCTGCCTTCGGCCCAGGGCATGATCCTGGGGTCCCGGGATCGGGTCCCACATCAGGCTCCCTGCATGGAGCCTGCTTCTCCCTCTGCCTGTGTCCCTGCCTCTCTCTGTGTGTCTCTCATGAATGAATGAATGAATGAATGAATAAATAAATAAATAAATAAATAAATAAATAAATAAATAAATAAAATCTTAAAAAAAAAAAAAAAGGTGTGGGCCCAGGGTCCTGCACAGAGATCTGCCAGCTGTTGGGGTCTCCTGACTCCTGGATGTAGGATCTTAGGCACAAGCCACTAAACCTCTTTGAGCCTCAGTTTCTTTACCTGTAAGATGGGAATTATCATACTGTCTTCACAAGGTGTTGTGAGGAGTAAAAGACAGACCCCCGGAAGGCACCTTGCACCCCGTCCGGCAGGTAGAGATCAGCCTGCAGAACACACAGCAGTTGCCGTCCTGCTCAGGGTTGAAGGAACGTCAGCAGCCGTGGTCATGGCTGTGGTGGCAGCATCTCCATCTTTCTTCTATTGATTCCTTTCTTCTATTGATTCCTTCTCCCCAGGGCTCATGCTCAGCCGGGCCTGCTTGTCGGAGCTCTATGGCATTAGCAAGCAGGCCATGGAGAGGTGACCCCTCCTTAGCCACCTGTCACTGTGGCTCGGGGGCCCAGGGCAGCCCATGGATGTCAGCCACTGGTAATTCTCCCCTCCTGGGGCAGCACACGTCTGGCCAAGGTCTGCCCTGAAACCTTGTCTGGGCGTCATCCTGAGAGGGCTCAGCTGTATAGAGTCAGCACATCTGTCCGGGGTGAAGAGGGCGGGCTCCGGGGTTCATTCCCATCTGCACTGCTTACCGCTGTGGTTCCTGGGGCAAGCTCCTTGACCTCTCTGTGCCTCGGTATCTTCACACACAGGACAGGGTGTTCGTAATACTTCCATGGGTTAATATGAGGATTCAGTGGAACCGTGGGGAAGCACACTTAGGATACTGTCCACACTGGGATCTGCTCCATCGTGTCAGGCACCAGGCAAGGCAGTGGGGTTCATAGAGGAGTGCCAGTCCCAGCCCCCAAGAGGTCCCCGTTCCCATGAAGGGGAGATTCCCCCAGACTTTAGGATCTGAGAGGCCGGTTCAAGCCCTGGCACCACTAATGTGGGCAGCACCCCAAGCAGGACATTTTTTTCTCTGTCTCTCTCAGTTTCCCATTCTGCAAAATGAGATGTTTTGAGGCTGTATTGGGTCATGGATTTGACGAAACTCAGAAAAGCATAAAATATTAAAAAGGTCCAGAGCGTTCTACATAGAAAGGAAGTCTGCAAGCTGAAGCATGTTAGAACTTTGATTGGATGCTCAATGTGATAGCACATCTGTCCCAAGATAAAGAGATCCTTAGAGAAGATAATAAGAGGTTCAAGGTTTACAACCAACAAGTTTACTTGAAACCTGAGTAATCTCAGCGTCCGGCAGCTGGCTCACTTTGATTTATAGGAAACCAATTGTGCAACATTCCAGATTTATTAAATCAGCTGTTTAGAACTGATGACTCAAAGAGTTTTTAGACATGGCAACCAAACAATTTTCAGATTCTCTGCTTCAGGGGTTCTCGGACTTGATAAATGAGTTGTTTACCAATTCCCACAATCTATCGTTTTGGTCTGATGGATCGATGAGTTTGAGGAGTGACTTTTCTGTCTAAAAGACCCATCTCGGGCAGCCCTGGTGGCTCAGCGGTTTAGCACCACCTTCAGCCCAGGGCCTGATCCTGGGGACCTGGGATCGAGTCCCACGTCGGGCTCCCTGCATGGAGCCTGCTTCTCCCTCTGCCTGTGTCCCTGCTTCTGTGTGTGTGTGTGTGTGTGTGTGTGTGTCTCATGAATAAATAAATAAAATCTTAAAAAAAAAAAGACCCATCTCCCTCCCCCCCCCCTCGCTCCTTGCTGGGTGCAGAGGAATGACCACAAGGACCAGGAATCTTCCAGGAAAGGGTTAAGTCAAAGGAAAAACCAGATCTGGGCAGTAGTTAAAGGGTTAAAAGCAGATCCCAACCAGGAATGATTGCAATGAGAGACAAGAGACAACTGAGCTCGGTTCAGAATACAGCGTGGACACATGAAGATCTACAGCTGTAGATCTACGGAGCAGGTGGGGATGGGAAATCACTAAGAGGATACATCAGGGGTAAGGGAGGGGGATCATGGCTAAGCCAACCCAACAGGATTCTTGCCAGAGGCAGGCCTGGGTGATCAAACACCACCTGGAGGATGACGAGGGGTGAGGAATTTGATTAGATATCAAATTATCAGATATGGAGCGTGAGGGTTTTGGCTAAACCTACTTGACAGGATTCTTGCTCTTACGGATGAGGTTGCATCAAAAAAGATCTTAGAGGAACCTCACTCATTTTGGTCTCCCAGAAGAGACATTCTTTCCTCTGAACAGCAGGAGTCCATTTGTCCATTTATCCTTTGTCACCTTTTGTTCATGAAGGATCAGCTAACCCACCGCTTGGGACTTGGTCATAGTGGCTATTTGCTAGCTGCCGATGTGAGCGGTGGGGCACTGAATGGGGGAATTTCTATGAAAATAATGGAAAGGCAATGATTAGTCGTTGGGAACCCAGTTTCTGAGGGCGGAAATCGGGAAATTTCTAGATGTTGGGCTGGAGGCATCTACACGATGGAGTGAGGAAAGCAGTGGTGACCCAACAAACTTGCTGGCTTGCAGTTCGACGTCCTTGGTGACGGCATCGGTGTCCCAGTAAACTTTCTGAGCGGCTCACACAACAGCAGACGCCATCTATTGGGACTTCTCTGAAGCTTATTTCAAGTCAGCCGGCTTCTGTTTACGGGGCATCGGGAAAGGGGTAGTATTAGTTCTCAGGGATGTGGAGTCAGGGAGTGGGAGATTAGAAACTTTCATCTGGAGAATTATAGTCAGATACTGGAGAACCCCAATGGTGGGCTCTAGTTTTCCGTTAAAACACAAAATTTCTCTCTACAGTCACCCCTCTTTCTGACCAAAGATAATCAAAGTACGGCTGTTCTTATTTACAAAATAATTATTCCAGTCTCATTTGATTTCGTACGATTATTTACATGAGGGCCGCAAAAATGGAGATTGACCCCATAGGCCTTTTTGAGTTTGCTTTCCTAGAACCTTTTCACCGGGAATTTCAGATTAGACACTTAAGAAGCCACTTAAATCATTCTGTATTTACTAGGAGGGCACACCTCTGGGTACATCTATAGATTGGGGGACTTCCTCTCCTCTCAAGGTCCCCAAGATATCCTACGTTCCCTGGGTCTGCCAGGAAGTGACCTTCCTTGCTCACCTGCAAGCCAGGTACCAAACCATTTTTATCAAGAGGGCTTTGTGAGCTTTGGCTCCAGAAAGTCAACCTCACGTCCCTAAAACTGTCTGGTCGTAGCTGATCCTATGCACATCATTCTCAGATATTCCCGTCAGAGCCTTGATTATATAACCAATGTTTCCACCGATGATCTGTTGCAAGGAGAACCGATTCTTAGTGAACTCAAGCAAATAGCTATATTGCCATGGAAATAAGAATACTCAACACGAGTTCCTGAACGTTGGAGGGAGCAGGTAAGGAGAACACATAAATATTTCATTTCTGTTTACAAAAGTAGAGCCTACTAAATTATTATGAGCACAGACAACCTACAAGACAGGAAAAAGCAGTTCATTACATCTGGAAAATGCCACGTTAAAGACCCAGCAATGTTCTCATGATCCTCGCTGAAGTGACTTAGCAAGATTCTTGCCCTTGGGGACGAGACTCAGGGACAGGACTCAGCCAAACAAAGGCGTAGAGGAGCCTGGGGAAAGTTTGGATAAGCAGAGCCTTTGCAGTAACAAAGTTACCGGGGTGTTCTTGGCTTAAACAACAGAAATGTGTTAAAATTAACACGTTTTAAGAAAATATTCTATCATGAAAAATGTTCTAAAGATTTATTTATTTATTTGAGAAAGAGAGAGAGAGCGTGGGGAGGAGCAGAGGGAGAGGAAAAAGAATCTGGAGCAGACTCCCCGCTGAGCACAGCCCCCCCACCCCACCCCATCTCAGGATTCTGAGATCATGATTTTTTTTTTAAATTTTTTATGATAGTCACAGAGAGAGAGAGAGAGAGAGAGAGAGGCACAGAGACATAGGCAGAGGGAGAAGCAGGCTCCATGCACCGGGAGCCCGATGTGGGATTCGATCCTGGGTCTCCAGGATCGCGCCCTGGGCCAAAGGCAGGTGCCAAACCGCTGCGCCACCCAGGGATCCCCTGAGATCATGATCTAAGCAGAAATCAAAAGTCAGATACTTAACAGACTGAGTGAGCCACCCAGGCGCCCCCCAAAATGAAAAATGTTTCAAATAAATTGTTTCATTCCAAGGGAAAGTTATAAAATGGACATGGGTTAGGTGGACCAGGATGGTAATATATAATCCGTTCCATATTTATTAGGAGGGCACACCTCCTACACCTTTACCCCTGGGGGCACCACCCTGAATTTAGAAATGTATAAAATTAGAGCCAGGACCACAGGTCTACGGAGTCTCTGTGGATGTCAACGGGCTATCCCCACGGACATAGGCAAGCATATAAATAAGCTTTGATCATCTTTTGTGACCCACGCAGCCTCCCAGTGTCCCCACACCTGACTGCTTTGTGCCTCCACAGCCTCCCCACACCTGACTGCTTTGCTCGTCCCGGGAGCTTGTTTACAAATACAGATTTCTGGTCCTCAACCAGAAGCTGTGATCTAGCCTGAGGATGTGTATTTGCAACCACAGGAAGTTCTGAAGCAGCCCTTCTACCTGCCAGGCTAGAGGGCAGTCCTGGGATGCACCTGGCACCCTGGGGCAGAGCTTTCCCAGCTCCACTAGGACTAAATGTTTAACCCTTTCTATTCCAGCAGAGAACATGCATGATGCCAGGAGATTGAGGTGGAGTCACAAGGTCCCCCTGTATCAGTGGTGAGGCCTGGTGACCTCCCCAAGGCCTGAGCGTGCAGGAACTGGGGCCTTCGTGCACAGTGCTCTTTGCTGGCTTTGGTGGAGACGGAGTACAGCTGTCGGTGCCAGACCCAGAGATCTGCAGT